CCAAGATTTATGATTCCAACTCTATCGGTTCACCCACAATTCAAATTGTACCAAATTTAGTACACATTAGTAAAATTTTTTAAAACTTCCTACATATCTCGATCTTACACCCCAACAGTTATCCTGACTCCAAATTTCATGATTCTAGCTCTATTGGTTCGCATAAAATTCAAATTGTACCAAATTTAGTACCATTTAGTACCCATGAATATAAATTACTGAAACTGTGTAAAAAAATTCCAAAACTACGTACATTCCCAATCCTACACTCAGATGTCCAACTCCTAATGTTAATTTCAAATTTCAGGATTCCAGCTCGATTTGTATCTCCAAATTAAATTTGTACCAAATATAGTATCATATAGTACTTTTCGTACACATGAGTACACGATTTCAAAACCATATCCTTAAATAGACTCTACATCTCATCCCTAAGTCGCATTCCAAATTTCAAGTTTTTAGCTCTATCAATTCACATGCTACGAAATTGTACAAAATTAAGTACATTTTAGTACTTTTCGTACCCTTCTATTTCGAATTTCCAACAACCCGTTGGTACATCTATCCTACACTCAGCGACCACCAATCCAAATTTCAGAGTTCTAGCTCTACCGGTTCGCCAAATACAAATGGTATCACATTTAGTACTTTTCGTACCGTTCTAGTACGAATTTCCAAAAACGCTTTTGTACATCTTCCTAACTTTACATCAGTGACCCACATTCCAAATTTCAGAATTCTAGCTCTTCCCGTTCGCCTAATACAAAGGGTACCATATTTGGTACATTTTAGTACTTTTCGTACCCTTCTAGTTCGAATTTCCAAAAACCCAGCCTTATCTCAAACGTCAAATTTTTTTTTAAGTCAAACGCCATAATTTTTACATTTTTTTTAACTTTATTGAATGAAAGCAAAAAATGTCGGAAATAGCATCAAATTTTAGAACAAGTTTAGATTTGTTCGAATTGGTCACCTTTGGCACAAATTATGGCCTTCAAACGGCTAATGAAATCGTCACACGCTGCCCGAATGTTGCTCTGCGGTATTTTGGCCCATTCCCGGCGAAGAGCTTGATCGACACTTTGGTATTTTTTTATTGCCAACCTTGCTTTCCAAAGTACTCCAGACACAATAGTCCAACGGATTGGTATCCGGAAATTTTGGTGGCCATTGGCGCGTGCTGAGAGCGATGGTGCTGAGTCCTGTTGGAATGTCCAAGGTCTGTGGCCAAAATGTTTGCGTGCCCAAGGCTTTAATATACCCTCCAGAATATTTTCGCGATAATATTCGGCATTTATTTTGATGCCACGGGCGATTTATACGAGCGGCGGCCCACACCATCACCATGACAGGCGCTTGAGTTCTGGTGGCCAACAGAAGTTGCACATTTTCCGCTGACCTCTTTGTCAAGTAAACACGATCATTTTGTTTGTTTACAAACTGCTGGACAACGAATGTTTTCTCATCGGAGAAAAGACAATTCGACAGTTCACCACATTGTGCAGCCCCAAAAGTTTGTAACACCGCGAAATATAAGTCCTAGAACCACTCTTAAGTATACCGATCGCCATATCCGACTAGCTGAGTCGATCTAGACATGTGCGTCCGTCCGTCTGTCCATTATAATTTGTAAACACGATACAGGCCACAGTTATGGGCCAATCTTCACGAAAATTTGCATGTAGGAAGGGTTCGGCCCAATGAAGACCCCTATTGTTTTTGGTAAAGATCGGTTAATATTTAGGGGATGAAATGGACCAAATGCTTAATTTTTATCGGTTTTTTCTGGTCGCTCCAGAGGCCGCAATTATGGCCCAAATATCTCCAATTTTTACATGGAGAAGGGGATTGGGCCAAAAAATAAGCATACCTGTTTTGATAAAGATTGGTCAATATTTAGCGGGTCAAATGGACCCTGACTTTTGTGTGAAAAATTAGAAAATTTGTTTTTTTAGAGCGTACATATTTACTCCTGAAGGACATAGAGTCGAGAAGTTGATAGTATAGCTAAGAGGAGTGGTTAGCCCTTAAATTGATACCAATTACATGTGGGAATTACACGTACATTTTCACAGGTGCTTACGTATAAATATATTATTTAGTAACCCATTACCACACTAGAGGGCGGAAATATAGCGCTGATCGCTTTGAAATGTTTCATGAGGTTCCAGTTATGGTCAAGTACAGCGCCTATAATTTTCGGCGATGATCAGATAATAATTTTGGGTTGAAGTGACCGAAAACTTATTTTTTGTGTTTTTTTTTCTTGTCGATCTTTAGGCCACATTGAAATCCGAACACCACAACACAACCCACGCTCAAAGGAATCTGGACAAGTAATTAGACTAGTCGGTCAAGAGGGTAAAAATATCGCGAAATATTGCCCAAGTTCAGAATGTATGACCACAGAAAGTTAGATTTTCGAGGAAGTTGTGTAGGGTATCATATGGTCGGCCCCGTCGTATTGAATAATGTGTGGTGTAATGTTTCAATTTAGTTGGTTCGTCCGACTTGGCTTCCTTTCATATTGATTTTGCGTCCAGTTGTGTATAAATGCTTAGATAATGCCTTTCAAATTAATAACCAATTAACTAAATTGAGAGCTCTTTGAGACTTTTGAGAAAAAACGACAACAACAACATATTCTATCCTAAATCCTAAATAAGCTCAGGAAGGTTTTTGTTTGCTTGTTGGATTTTCACAAATGGACTAATTGTATAGGCTATGCATCTCTTGCAACAACATTTTCTGTACCTACCCATTGGCGAATTATGATTTTCGTTTTTTTTATAATGGACAATTTCAATCTCATAGAGTAGATACATATTTTACTAGCAAAAATTTGTAATGTTTATGTTGGTATGTAAAATGGAAAAAAAATTGCAAGTTCGAATTTAGGATGCAAAGGTTAGGTTGTTTTAAAGTTCGATGCCGAACAATTTTAATTAATGTCAGACCACTGGAAACTTGCACTTTTTGTTTGCACTGAAAACTCACAATATAAGGCAAATTAATTGAATTAATTTTCGTTGTGTATCTTTATACCCTTCACCACACTGTGGTACAGGGTATTACGACTTTGTGAATATGTTTGTAACAGGCAAAAGGAAACGAGATATACACATGGTTCCTTTTGAGAATATGCATAGAATCACTTTTTTTTAAATATATTATTCTTTATTTATTTCTTTATACAGAGAGTCTGCAGATGTTAAATTGTACACAAAGTACAAGTCGCATTTATGATCCGATTTGGATGAAATTTGGCACAAGTCACTTATTTGGCCCAAGGACAAACCCTATTGAAAAATCAGTTCAGATTTCGATATAGCTCCCATATATATATTTTCGTCCGATTTAAGGTAAATAGGGCACCAAAGTTCCTCTATATCTTTCGATTTGCACGAAATTTAGCACAGAGTACTGAATTAAGTTCAGAGTGATGTGTGCCAAGTTTCGAGAAAATCGGTGCAGATTTAGATATAGCTCCCATGTATAGGTTAGTCCGATTTAAGGTAAATGTTGCACACAAAGTCCCACATATCATTCGATTTGCACGAAATTTGGCATAGAGTACTGAATTAGGTGCAGAATGATGTGTGCCAAGTTTCGAGAAAATCGGTTCAGATTTAGATATAGCTCCCATATGTATATTTTCGTCCGATTTGAGGTAAATGGGTCTCCAAAGTCTCTCTATATCTTTTGATTTGCACGAAATTTGTCATAGCGTACTGAATTAAGGCTAGAATGACGTGTGCTAAATTTCGTGAAAATGGGTTTAGATTTAGATATATACACCAAAGTCCCTATATATCTTTCGATTTGCACGAATTTTAGAATAGGGTGTAATATAAATTTGTCTCTGGCAAGTTTCCCCGAAATCGGTCGTCTGTTAGGATACATATGTAGAATATACCCAAAGTGGTGAAGGGTCGGCCCATTCCGACTTTATTACTTTCCTTACTGGTTTTTGATTTATGACTGAACACGATTTATATGTTTTTACAAGTATTTGTTTTTTGGGGACTCGTTTTTCAAGCGAGTCGATTGTAATTTGAGTTCCCATTGTGTAGGCAATGTTTCTACCAAAAATATGAAAATTGGTCCACATATTAATACCACCTATTAATTTGCAATTCCCAACAAATTTTTCGAACGAATTGTCTCCAATTTAATATTTTGCGTTCTCAATGGATCACACATTTTCCAAAAAAAAAATTATCATTATCAGTCTACATGGTCCACACATTGGTATAGTCAGTTCATGTTTTAGTTCACAATTTCAAACACATTTTTCAACCAAGTTTTGGCTCTAATTTTATATTTTGAATTTACATTCGGTGGAAATTCATCGTACCAAAAATAATGAATATAGCTTGATTTTGTTTTTGTCTATCCCCCATATTAATGGTTCCATGCCCGTTTTCGTGATCCATTGTTTTAAATTTGTTATAGCCAACAGCACTTGTTTCGATTCTTCTTTTATCTCCTTAATCGTAGCAAAACGCTTCCCTTTCATTGATGTCTTTAATTTTGGCACGAGGAAAAATTCAATGGTGGCCAAGTCCGATGAATACGGTCCGTGGTTAACGGGTTTGTTTTTATCCAAGAAATCACGCATAATTGTTTGGCAAATGACATATCCTCTATATAAATGCTCCGATCGTTTTTATGCATTTTGAATGCCCACCTCATTGTGGAGGATATACAGGGTGAGGTGAAAAAACTGCAACCAACCGACAGCTATTAAAATTATTCCCGTGGCAGCTTATTATATTGTATACAAGCGTACAAAATCATTTTGGTGAGAAATTTCCAGAAAAAAGTTATTTGTGATGGAATTCAAGCGTGATAGTGTGATTTCTTTATATTTGACTGGAAAACCACAAGTGGCTATAGTTAGAGCACCCCAGCATTTAAATGTGAATAAATCTTTTGTGTCCCGTACCATGACTCGTTACCGTGATACTGGTAGCGTAGCCCGACGTCAAGGAAGTGGACGGAAGAAAACAGCAACATTAGCAGAAATGGTTCGAAAAGTAAAGAAGCGACTTGGTCGAAATCCGCGTCGCAATTGCCGAAAAATGGTTCGCGAGCTGAACATATCGCAATATTCCATTCGAAAAATATTGAAAAATGAGCTTGAGGTAAAGCCATCGAAATTCCAAAAAGTGCAAGAACTTACACCGCAACGTAAGGAAAAAAGACTCAAAAGAGCTAAAGAGTTGCTTAGCTTGGCCGAAAGTGGTGAACTGCCGAATTTTGTTTTCTACGATGAAAAATCATTCGTTGTCCAGAAGTTTGTAAACAAACAAAATGATCGTGTTTACTTGAGGTCAGCTGAAAATGTGCACCTTCAGTTGGCCACCAGAACTCAAGCGTCGGCTATGGTGATGGTGTGGGCCGCCATAGCAGCCGATGATCGCTCACCGCTCTTATTAATCCACCGTGGTATCAGAATAAATGCCGAGTATTATCGCGAAAATATTCTGGAGGGCGTATTGAAGCCTTGCGCAAGCAAACATTTTGGCCGCAGACCTTGGACATTCCAACAGAACTCAGCACCATTGCACTCAGCACGCGCCAACCAAGAATGGTTACAAAATTAGGTTCCTCGCCTCATTTCCAGCGCACAATGGTCACTAAAATCTCTGGATACCAATCCCTTGGACTATTGTGTCTGGAGTATTTTGGAAAGCAAGGTTGGTACTAAAAACCAAAGTGTCGATCACTTCAAGCAAGTGCCAAAATACCGCAGAGCAACATTCGGGCAGCGTGTGACGATTGGCCGTTTGAAGGCCATAATTCGTGCCAAAGGTGACCAATTCAAACAAATCTAAACTTATTCTAAAATTTTATGCTATTTCCCACATTTTAAAATTATGGCGTTTAATTTTTTTGCTGCTTTTTTGTCTCATCGTGTAAAATTGGCTTGCCGAACTTGACGAATTGAATTTATCATCTAGACTCGATGCAGAATTACTTGTACATATATAAAAGTGCCGATCGATTTTAGGTATTTTGGATGTTCACCCCAATGCTGGAGGACATTAAAATTTTGTCTAGACTGAAATTAACGACATTTGTACTTGTTTTTATTTTTTCCTCGGCTTAGATGAACATTTTGAGTTATGTCCAGATAATTTTGTTTTGCTGGTAACACAGAAGCTTTACATCTTTTTTGGGCCAATTGCGGGTTGTTTTTCAGATGACATACTTACGTTGAAATCGAATGAGGAATATTTTTGTAGGAAGATAGCCTTCTTCCTTCTTGAGATTTTACTTAGGGTTCTGAAAGGGTGTAAGGGTCCTGAGATGAATTTGATATAATTTATTTAGGTAGAGTATTTCATATACAGGGTTTTCCAATAAGAAGAGGTGTTAGTTTTGTATGAGGAATAACACTCTGGTAAAAAAAATCATCTATTTTCAATACACCCTCGAAATCTGAAGTTATGGCCAAAAAACCGTTTTTTGTGTTTTTCTAAACAATCTGGCGTCCTTGGTCCTATTGTCATCGTAATCCCGAATTCTAAATACAACCGCTTCAATTGGAAAACTCTGCTCAAAAATATGGAATATGGGCTGATATCGTTATATGGGTTCAGTTCAGTCTATATGCCATCCTAGGAGTTGTAGACATCGTAATAGTGCGATCATGAATGTGTTTTCAAAAGACAGATGGACTTAGGACTATAATTTTATTTAGATCAAGAATACATCTAATACTGTTTTATAGGGAATGCGAGGAATTAAAAAAAAATCACACACACATTTCGAGTAAGAAAGAGTCGGGTTGCTAAATAGTTTATGATAATTAAACCGATAATAGTACGGTTCAATAAATTTTGCACGTTGGTTCTCGGTTTTCTCTTCTTCGTGTTATATGTTTTATACCCTGAAGGCACTTGATATGGAAAAAATTTGCCTCAAAGAAATATGGGTTTTAGAACCCATGTTTCTTTGGACAAAATCCGTTTCCGAAAATTTGTTGTCTATTTTCAAATGTCCGTACTTCTATCTGGCTGGTGCGCACGATAATTCTCGAAGGGAGTAACCGATTACTTTCAAACTTTGGTCATTATAATATTTCTTCCAACTTAAGTTCGAAGATGGGAATTATCAGTCTACTCCTTCTGGTATCTCCCATACAAAATGGTGAAAAATGATTTTTTAGTATTATGCGAACGGACTATCCGATTTAAATAAATTCCAAAGATGGGACCCATTGGTCCACTTCTTCGGGTACCTCCCCACAAATGGTCAATATGTTCAATATTTATAAATCCAATATTAGACGATTGGAATGGTCAAAATTTTCAATATTTATAAATCCAATATTAGACGATTGGAATTTCCAATTTGAACCAAACTTTGCACGACCTATTATTTTTCCCCAGCCTATTTCAAGTCCAAATATGGGACCCAGTGGTCCATTTCTTCTGGTACCTCCCTCACAATGTCGTCAATATTTTATAAACTTGTAAATTCATAACCTAACTGATCGACATTAAATCTGAAAAATCACATCTTGTGGTAATTGGAGTCCAGTTCAATAAATTAAGCAATCTAATTAGAAGGACAAAATAAAAACATCACTCGATTTTACACGCATATGTTATGTAAAATGTAATCTCAAATGTAAATACAAAAGCTACAAATTTAGATATGAAGATATCTCTTCAATTATAATAGGGTCGCCAGAAAAAAAAAATGATCCCGACATATCTCCGAATTTTGACTTATGGGGAAATTTTCCTTGTGGATGCCATATCCTTAATTTCGCAATTATTACATCCTCTTATTTATTGAAAAATACGGTATGCCAAGGTCCGAAAACAAAATTGTAACTCTTATTTCATGTTGTGTATATCCACCCTTTTCGCCGGTCATTCATAGTCCTTATAAGGGGTTACAAATCGAAAAATTCGATTACACGAAAATATATTTTATGCCAAACAACAACAACAACAGAAACCCCTCCCGATCCTGCTGCAGGCCCAATATATATTTTAATCCAATTTAAACATCAATTACGACCTTTATAGAAAAACAATTTTTATGGTGTTTTGTTTTCATAAATCCTTTAAATACAGCCATCTATATTTATTATATATATACACAAAAAAATAAACATATTAATAAAATAAGCCAAATAAGCTCTTTTTAACAACCTATCAATAATTACAATAAACTATTATCTTTTCTAAATAAAATTCATTCATTTTTTTGACTAGTAATATGATTAAATTCTTTTGTTTTGAGTGTGTGTAAATTTGATGTGAGTGTGTGTGTGTGTTGGACATCATTATATTTATATTACAAAGAGAGGAGACAATTAAAAAAAAACAGGTGCAAATTATTTATCTGCTAGTTGTAATTGTTGAAGTTCGTGGACTTCATTGAATCGACTTCGATGATGAGTCATCATACGGCGTCGGGTTGAAGCATTGTTGCCAGCAATCATGCAACTACCGCTCCTTGATATAGCAGCTCCAGCACCTCCTCCACCACCAGCACCACCACTGTTGCGATAATATTCCGAAACTGTAATGAAAATAAGAGAAGAGTTACCGAATAATCTCAATACATTCAAGGTATTTAGAACAAATTGCTAAAGATTTATTTGAATTGAAAATTCTTTAGACATTTAAAAAAAAATCTTTAAGTTATATCCAATTTTTACATGGTGTATACATCAGTCGTCGGCAAGAGTTGTGAACATTCAAACTGTACCAAATTTAGTACAGTTTAGTACTTTTCCTGTACATGTGTACACTCTTTCAAAACTTCATCCTTATACAGATTCTCAATTTCAATCTTGATTCGCATTCCAAATTTTAAGTTTTTACCTCTATCCATTCACATGCTACGAAATGGTAACGCATTTAGTACATGTTAGTACTTTTCGTATACTTATAGTTCAAATGCCCCAAAAACCCTTTGGTACATCTATCCTACATTTCATCCATAAACCTTAATCCAAATTTCAGAGTAGCATTTCTATTTGACGAACCGGCTTGTATATCGCCGGTTACATTTCTAAAAATCCAGCCATGTCTGACCTTTTTGAACCAAGAGCGACTCTTACCCCAAATTTCAAGATTCTACCTGCAGCCGTTTCGTCTGGGCGTTGATGAATCGTAAAGTCAGTCAGTCAGTGAATATATACGAAATTATATATGGGAGGTATATCTAAATCTGGACCGATTTTCAAGAAACTTAACACACATCATTCTAGACCTAATTCATTACGATATGCCAAATTTCTTGCAAATAGAAAGATATATAGGGACTTTGGTACACCATTTACATTAAATCGGCCTAAAATATATATGGGAGCCATATCTAAATCTGGAACGATTTTCAGGAAACTTAACACACATCTTTCTAGACCTAATTCAGTACGCTATGCCAAATTTCTTGCAAATAGAATGATATATAGGGACTTTTGTACACCATTTACATAAAATCGGACTAAAATATATATGAGAGCTATATCTAAATCTGAACCGATTTTCAGGAAACTTAACACACATCATTCTAGACCAAATTCATTATGCTGTGCCAAATTTCGTGCAAATCGAAAGATATGTGGGGACTTTGGTACACCATTTACATTAAATCGGACGAAAATATATATGAGAGCTATATTTAAATCTGAACCGATTTTCTCAAAAATTTTTACACATTATTCTGGAACTAATTCAGTACGCTATGCCAAAGTTCGTGCAAATCGAAACATATATAGGGACTTTGGTGCCCCATTTACCTTAAATCGGACGAAAATATATATGGGAGCTATATCTAAATCTGAACCGATTTTCGTCCTTGGGCCAAATAAGTGAGCTGTGCAAAATTTCATCCAAATCGGATAATAAATGCGACCTGTACTTTGTTTACAATTTAACATGGACAGACAGACGGACGGACATGCATAAATCGACTTAAAAAGTGATTCTATGCATATTCTCTAAAGGAACCATATGTCTATCTCGTTTCCTTTTGCCTGTTACACACATATGCACAAAGACAATACCCTGTACCACAGTGTGGTGAAGGGTATAAATACTAATACCCGGAATGCTAAATGTAAGCTTCAGATAAAAGTGTCAACTTACAAAAAATGAGGCGGAACCTTTATACAATAGGTCGCATTTATAATCCGAATTGGATGAAATTTGGCATAGGTCGCTTATTCGGCCCAAGGACGAACCCTATTGAAATTGGGAAAAATCGGTTCAGATTTAGATATAGCTCCCATATATATATTTAACCGATTTAATGTAAACGTAATTTGGTACAGCCTAATCATTTATATGGTCTATATTTAAATCTGAACCGATTTTCTGAAAATTGTAATTCAGTACGCTATGCCAAATTTCGTGCAAATCGAAACATATGTAGGGACTTTGGTGCCCCCGGCAAGTTTTGAGAAAATCGGTTCAGATTTTCGTCCGATTTCATGTTAATGATGCCCCCAAAGTCCCTATATATTTATCTATTTGCACGAAATTTGGTATAACGTACTGAATTAAGCCTAGAGTGATGTTTGCCAAGTTTCGAGAAAATCGGTCCAGATTTAGATATAGCTCCCATATATAGTTTCGTCCGATTTCATGTAAATGGTGCCCCAAAGTAACAATATATCTTTCGATTTGCACGAAATTTGGCATAACGTACTGAATTGAGCCTAGAATGATGTCTGCCAAGTTTTGAGAAAATCGGTCCAGATTTAGATATAGCTCCCATATATAGTGTCGTCCGATTTCATGTAAATGGTGCACCAAAGTCCACATATATCTTGCGATTTGCACGAAATTTGACACAACGTACTGAATTAAGTCTAGAATGATGTCTGCCAAGTTTCGTGAAAATCGGTCAAGATTTAGATATAGCTCCTGTATATAGTTTCGTCCGATTTCATGTAAATGGTGCACCAACGTCCCTATATATCCTTCGATTTGCACGAAATTTTTCATAACGTACTGAATTGAGCCTAGCCACATACTAAAGGGCAAAATCGTTTTTAGTTTAAGTTTTGTCCGACCGTAGTTAACGACGTTTTTATTGGTTGGCTTTTATTTAAATGTTACTCCATTAGATGTAGTAATAAATAGAGATTACTTAAAACAAATAAACCAATATTGTTGCATTTTTGTGTGTGTAGTTTTTCAACTGAATTCACTCTACTTTGTAACGCCACTTTAACTTGTTGAAATTTAACTTGAAAAAATAAAAAAAAATTGTGTCAAAAATATTTCCTTTTTCACATCACACACACACAAGGAATTCTTGAAATCACTTGCGATGTAATAGTGGACAACCCACAGGAAGGAAAATTCTGACAAACACACATCATGCTACAGAACTTCCCCGAATATTTAAAACAGCATAATTCATTTATTAATCATTTATGTTACTTTTTCATAACTACCATGCCTTTTTTCGTATTCCCAAAATAAAAATAATAAATCTCTTTAAAAAATTTTTCCGCTTGATGGATTACTGATTGATTGTGATGGCTTTGATTACATATGTATGTATTTCGTCACATGGCAATTATTTTAAACTTTGTAGTATCTAAATATACATATGCTGTACAACAGTACATACTTCATTCATCAATCATGAGAATTTAAATGATGTTTGTGTGTGGTGGTTTTCCCCATTTTTTGTTTTGTTTCTCATTTTTTTGTTTTGAAGCACACGGACGCGGTTAATAACGTCATGGGACTTCGTTAGATTGGCACATGGTTGTTATACTAAAAATCTAATTTATTTTATTCGTTGTTTACTGCTATTTGCACAAACACAATTTTAAATTATTTTCAATTGGTGTGTGTGCGTGGGTACACATGAGTGAAATACCAGCAATAACAAGTAAAAACGTTGTTATATTCGACCCGATCGAACTTTTTTCATACACTTCGGCACCCAAAATAAAATCGCTATGGAGGATATCGGTTCACGTTTTTAAATATTCATTTAATAATGACCCTTTTTGGTGAATTAAGGATATTCGGTCTTAAACTAAATTTGGAAGAAATATTATGATCTGTAAGGTTTGAATGAAATCGGTTACTCCCTTTCGAAAGTTACCGAGCGCACTCGCCGGACCAAATTGTCTGAAACGGGATTTAAAACCAACATATCGATGAGGCACATTTTTGTCGTATGGTATTTTTATTAAACCAAGTAAAAAGTCCCAGTCGGTGTAGCCGACAGATCATTACCCTCAGTCTCTGATTTGCAGAGGTCTTCGGAATTACACACAGGTTTTATTATACGCTTTATATAAGGTATATGTTTTTATCAAAGAGATTTCACATTTAACATTGATCAAATCGGTTATTCAATTCGCTTCAAATTAAATTTACAACTTACACCGAACATTTGTAGTTATTATTATATGAGGTGCTATGCCTAATTGAGGACTGACATAGCTCAATTTCGGAATCGGTAGGTATCATTTTATGGGGGCTTGGTCTAAATGCGGGCCGATATAGCTCATTCTCGATGGTCTTGATATCCTCCACAGGTAGAATATCTACAACACAGTCTTAGATCCAAACCCTAACCGTCGAACAAATCTGATAACTCAGAAATGGAGGCTACCCTAAACAATGGATCTATATTTATAATTTTTTATGAAAGATTTGCTATTCAATATGAACTCAGGGTACTTAATTACAGTCTATTCGGTCGAAAATGCGATCAAAACCCCCCAAAATACTGAAAATTTGGGGTACCTTTATATGCGGGCTACCTGCGAATTTGTGTGAAAAGTGCACTCAAGAACCCCAAAATACCGAAAACTGGGAAATACCTTTTTATGAGGGCTACCCGAAAAAATTTACTAACCATTAAGGAAAGTGGTAAAGTCGGACTGGGCCGACTATGTGATACCCTTCATCCGTACACATGTCATTCTGCAACCTATGCTAAATTTTGTAAATCAATTTAAAGCAAACCTGACAAACTTGATATCCTGCACGGCTTAAATTTTCATCTCAATCAATGCCAAAATTTTTGCAAATCGAACGATTTTTAGGAAATTTGGTGCACCATTTACCTAAAATCGGGCAAAGCTATATATGGGAACTAAATCTTAACCGATTTTCAGGAAACTTAAGTCACATCATTCTATACCTAATTCATTACGCTGTGCCAAATTTCATGCAAATCGAAATGTATATAGGTAAATGGAGCACCATTTACCTTAAATCGGTGTTGTGCTCTGTTTACCCTCTTGCTGTTGTTTGCATAAAAAATGTCATGGTCAGTTTTCTAAGAATTTATTTTTCTGGAGTCTCTTCTCTATATGCTATTTATTTTAGAATAATTTTTGTTGTTTGTATGCAAGTAAATAATAGATGCATATGTGTTATATGTAGGGGTGTGAGTGAGTGTGTGTGGTTGGGTGTGTATGAGTGCTATTGCTTGTCTATTGTTTGATTTTGTTGATATCAAATTAACAAAGGATAATCAAATACCAGAATGCAATTTGCTTTTCGTTTTGATTGACATTTCCGGGAAGCACTTTG